CTGGAGAGACGGCAGTCACCTTTTAGGCAGGTATATAACTTGATCATCTTACATTAGATCAGCCTTTATCACACAGTCTGTCTCAGACAGTACATCCCCAGCTCCGGAAGTACCACATCAGAAAACTGCCAGTTTAAAAAAAAACAAAACTCAACAAACAACCCTGAGTCCAGAAATCTCTTAAAGAAGATACGTGTCTTCTTGCCCAGCACTGGAGCAAGAGCAGAGACATGGCACAGGGTTTGGAGAGCACTCTGTCCCTAGCACACTGAGCACACAGCTTGTGTAGCCCTAGCAACCTTCTTGTAGGCACTATTACAATACTAGGGACATCTAGCAGACTAGCATTACATCCAGAACATTGTTCCGAAGAATTTTGCTTTTCCCAGGTCACTTGGAAAGCTGGAGGTGAAACTATGAGTTATAGTAACTCACTTGGATCAAACTAGCTAATCCAAATTAGCTTGGCTAATTTGCTAGCTTTGCTTCTGGCTATCAGGAGATAATGCCTATTAACTTAAAACTAGATAAATCCAGGAAAAGCAACTTCAATGAATAAATGGGGTTCTGTTTAGTAACAGGGATAAAAAAAAGAACAGGCTTGGATCATGAATCTTTTTCTTCTTAGATAAGATATAGTCTAAAAGGGGCTCCTAGCTTCTCCTTGTGAGATGTACAAACAGCTCCTTCCCTTTTGCCACCAAAGCAGGCAGCAAGCAGCAGCTTCTGGTCCTTCCAAGACAGGTTTTCTGCTTCATTTACCTCCTCCACCCTCACAGGCAGGAGGCTGGCATGAGTAAAGTTTGCCCAACCCAAGAGGAGGGAAAATGGAGCGAAGCACAACACTGGTAGCACACACCATTTGGTATCAGCTCCATAAACACTTCAGCAAAGCACTGAAAATGGAACCACTGAGGTTTCAACAAGACTTAACATCACTAATAGGCTCCTTCTTTTTGCTTGAGAAAAGCAGAGTGTGCAACCCTTCCAAACCCTCTTCCACAAGAACATCCACATTTATTCATCTCCCAATTTCATTTACTGGCTGGTAACACCCAGCCGGGAAGGGCATGCAAGGGCAGCAGCATTTCTGACTACTTCTCATTTATCAAGCAAAGAACACGACAGAAACATTATATCCCCTCCTCTCAGATCTCCACCTTTTTAATCTCAAAGGCAGGAAAACTAATACACAGTAAGACCAGGATTTCCAGATACACAGGTTCAGCTCTACCCACCTGAACAGACTAACACTCCAAACGATACCCACAACAGTTGACTTTACTGAAGCTGTATTTCAAATTAATGTGACCTAAAAAAGGAAGGGGGGCAGGAAGGAAAAGAAGACTTTTGCTCACTAGAAGTCTCCTTGACCACTGCTTGCCACTGGCAGTGGGGGTCACCTGCTGCAGGTCCTACGCTGGAAGGGCCATTGTTGCAGCTTCTCTTCTGCAGCACAAGTCTCACCAAGAGCACTCAACCACGCTCCTATTGAAAGATGACAGACAATCACGCTTTTCTCTTCCCATCTCACCATGCAGCTGTTTCAAAAAACATGGCAGAGTTACCAGGGAGGATGACAAGATTTTATAATGTCAGCATCCCACTATGAACTGGAGAGCTGCTGAGTGCTACTGTCACTCTCCAGGCATGTGATCCTCCTTGGGAGTGATTCAGACAGCAACCAGCAGTGGAAACTAAGAATTTTATGAGAAAGGGACTTAACTGAGGTAATTTTATATGCACCTACAGTCAGGTAATCTGTAATCAAGAAGCCACGTAAAACATCACAAACCTATTTCTGCTCCCCTTCCATCATCGTCCCCTGAACATCAGAACATCTTCAGATGAAAAAGTCCTCACTCTGATTTTTCTAGTAGTAAATGAGTCATATAAACACTGGTTCTCCCCCAAGGCTGTTTCAGTGAGTGGAAATCTTCCGACTGACGTTGGGTGAAGGTATTGTTGCTTTAACTGGTACCAAGCTCTTCACTCAGAGAAACCACCAAATGCCAGGACACATCTGCCAAGGCAAGTCTCGATGACAGGTTAACACCCTGGCAGGGGGCCCCAGTGACTGTAACACACATCCGACTCACGTGCGACCCCAAGAAAGGGAAAACAAGAGAGAAAGTGCTCTAGGATGATGCTTTTTAATTGTTATTTTTATATCTTTAAAAACAAATCAAACCATTAAAAACATTATAGACGTGCTGAAATTTCCTGTACAACAAATACGAAAACAATAAAGTTTGTACATCATTTAAAGATATTCAACAGTCATTTATTTGAAACACATCAACTGTTCCCTTCTTAAGCAGGCCCCAAATGGGAAAAAGAGTAGAACAGAAATGCAGATGTAACTGCCACACAGCGGGGCTTTTAGCCTGAAAAAGAGAGAGCTTTAGATAAAGCAACAGCAATAGAAAACACTGACCAGTGACAGATCTCAGCAGTTATAACACAGAGAACATCAGAAGGTAGGGAAAAAGGATTTACAGGAATTCAAGTCATCTTAACCAAGACAGATCCACAAGGTAGCAGAGCGTTACCTGTAATCCTCCTCCTCCTGCAGAGATAGCCTATGAGGCATGTCTTACTTATTCACGTCGACACTACGGCCAACTTAGTAACATTTTAAGCCTTACTAACTTTTTCCAGCTATACCTGGGATCAGCAGGTCATTTACTTCAAACTTCAGTCTCGGAAAAACGCATGTAATACAGTTGTATTAAACATGGATACTCACTAGATGATGACACAAGTGAGAATTTGGCACCTGCTTCCAGCATCGAAACAATGGGACAGACACTTGGTTTTCTCCGAGAGTATCTTGGGGGGGGCAGGCAGAAACACATACCACTGTAGCCAGTTTTCTGATGTTCTGCTGCAATATAATGCAAACACGTGATCTAATGTAGAAGATTCATCTCCCTCTCTTCACTACACAAAAAGAGCATGAGTGCATTCGCCACTCGAAGGCAGCAAGTTCTTGGGAGATGCAGAATAATGAATACTGGCTCTGTGCTCTGCACAGATGTGCCACAATTAGAAAATAAAGAGAAGAAAAAAAACCCAAACAACTGCAAGAGGCAGACTTTCCTCCCTCCCAATTCCTTTGGAATGGTTCTGTTTGGTCCAAGTGGCTTATCTTTGTTGTTTGACAGTAGCTTAGGAAGAACGCCAGGTGAGAGATCCACTATGTGGACTGCCAGTTTGGATGGAGTTGAGCAGGATCGTTAACCCATTTTTTTTAAATTTTTTTTTTTTAAGTATTTCAGAAAAAGAGAGAAAAAATATTCAAGAACCGACATGTGGCTGCTACCAAAAAAAAAAATAAGAAAGAAAAACCAACAAGAAGCAGCCCCAAAACCCAAAAGCTGAAGCACACAGTGGTTTGTCCTCCAGTTTTGCTCTGACAGAGCACGCCACAATTTCACACCAAGGCTGTAAAAACATTCCTCTGGATATCTGTAGAGTTACAGTTGTGCACCAGGAATTCCTACATTTTCTATCACCTGACAGCAGATTCTGTGAGACCACAGGGTTCCACTGTAATGCCGCATATACTAGTATCTGTAGCTTTTTCTGACAACTCTGCTAAAACTAACAAAAATAATAATTAAAAAAACACACAAAAAAAGCAGCAGAATTCCAGGGACTCTGGTTATTAAACCTTCATAAGATTTTCACCACTTTATAGCTATTCGATAGCATTATTCATAAACTTCATATTCCTCTGCAACGCAACCAGTGCAATGATCCGAAGACCAAAAAAACAACCCCCTCCAAGCTACTTCAGAAGTCCTTCACTGGTAATACCTTCGTAAGTCTAACAGTTATGTACCAGCAAAATAAATCCAGTCTAATCCTTGACTTGAAAAATCAGCAACTGGGGGTTTTCTGCTTGCTTGTTCTGTTTTTAAAAAGACCAGTTGAAACAACAGCAGCAGTATATTGCAAATAATTATAAAACAATTACAGGAGATCAATGAGATGCAGGCAGGTAAGATGCGTCTCAAATCTGAATGGCTAAATTAACTGAGAAATTGGTCTTTACAGCAGAATTTTGTGCAATTTGTTTTGGTAGAAACAGTAAAGCCAGTCAATCTGTTTGGGAGTGCTTGGGACACTTGGAACCTTAGTTTCAACATTTTCACAGATTTATATATTTGAGGAAAAACAACAACAATGATAAAAAGACACCAACCTGAGTAAAACTCTATTAGAATAGAGTGATCATTATTCAGTAAATCATATATTGCACCTTTAAATAAATCATTATAAACTGTATAAAAACACGAATATCAACCAGGAACAGGGAGGAGCTATTCTGTCCTTCATACACACCCGCACACACCCCCGCACACACATTCACATACTCACTTGCTCAGTTTTTTTACTACAGTTAAAGCTCGGAGTGATGGACCACACTCCTCTTCCTCTAGCAGAGGCACCGAAACATTAAGGCAGGGGATATTTGAGGTGAAATGCAAAAAACAAAGCTCACCTCCAAACTTCTGGAGAGTCCTGCCAACAGTGCAACAACAGTTACTTTTGACATAAGCCTTATTTAAAAATCTGTGTTCTCAGTAAGAGTTTCAGTACAAAAATAGAATCTCTGCTGTTTTTTTTCTAGAGTAGCAACTAGAAAAGGCACAATTTCCAAGTATAAATGTCTATTTGAAGGAGCTGTTTGTATGTACTCCTTTTTTAAATAAAAAGGAACACAGAAAAAAAAATCACAGAGGCACATATCTATTAGCTAAGTAACCAGATACAGTAGATAAAATATGTTCCTGAAACTTATAATTAAATATGTTAAAACAGCCCAGAAGCCTGGTGTCTGCAAATGAAATCATATAAAATTGTAATAAAAAGCTTGTGTTATTATTTTAATATTTAAATTCTAGTTTACTGTTCATACTGCGAATGCTATTTCACCTATCAGTACTGTTAAATTCCCAAGAAAAAGCAAGATTCCTCTGTTAACTTTAAGTAGTTTTGCTTGGTTTGTTTTCTTTTTAAATCTCAATCTGCAGCTCCTGCCAGTGTTGTGGTTTTCCTCCTGTAGGTCACATCTTCGAACGCAGGCAGAACTGAAGAAGCCAGACATGAGACACTGCACACGATCCCAGAAAACACATGTAGAACATCGCCCTTTCCTCCGCGCAGGTAACACCTCCTGGAGACACCGCGCTCCTCCCAGGCTACGCGTGGTAGCCGTTGGCCTTCCCGAAGCCTGGCCCAGGTGCGAAGTTTTCATAGATTGCCATTGCTGTCGTGTTTTGGTAAATCAGATCGGTTCTCTTGTCTTTCTGGGATCTAATAATATCCATAACACACTGGTTTAGGAAGACGTACTGGTCCTGATGGGAGCAAAAGAGAAGGTAATGTGTTTCTAGAAAACACTTGATTTTGGAAGTAATTCTGCTCCTGCACGCAGGTTTTGGATACACTGCACTGAATGTCACCATGGAACTTTTTTTAGATATTGTATGTATAGTTCACAGAAAATAGGTCTGGAAAGGACCCTATGATGTCATCTGATCAGGCCCCCATAAAAAATTAGGATCAAATTACTGTCCTGCCTAACACCTTCTTAAAAGACGTTCATGATGGAGATTTTACAGCCTTTTTCAAATCAGCTTGAGTCAATCTACACACCTTTTTGGTTCAAAGCGGTAAGGAACATATGTGTTCCTGCAGAACACAAAAGAAACGATGGGCACAGAGACCCCTTGACTCAAGATAACTCTGGCTCACAGCTATAACGATAAAACTCACATGAGTAAAACAAGCTGCAAAATACACTTTTTCCAGATTTGATTATTTCCAGCTGGAAATGCCAGTCCTACAAAGAACTGTGTAAAGAGATTGCTTGGACATACTACAGCCCCTCGCTGCAACTACTTTTGTGGGAGGAGATGAAGCAGGAAGGAGGGCAGTTAAATAAAGAGCAATTTCTGATTGCCCCTTAAGATCTTGTATTTCCGTACCTTCAAGCTACATCTTGAGCCCACCCTTCCTGGATTATTACACATTTGGAAAACATGCTGCCGGGTGCTGGACAGCCTCACCTCGGTTTGCACCATTAAAGGTCGGTGCATGCGAAGATCATACACCACCCCATACACATCCACGGTATTCTCCATTTCAATCTGCTGGATCAGGCGGTCAATGGCAATGAAAGTCCCTGTCCTCCCGACACCAGCGCTGCAACGACACCAGAAAACTATTTACTGCTTTCTCTCAATGACCTGCTCACCTGATGAAAAGCCAGTAAGATGCTTTCTGTTATTCTGGTGGCACAGATATCAGGTCTCTGCAGCTCAGAGGAATGGCTCTTACCATCATCAAGAGGGAGGAAGGACTTGCTTCTGGGCTTCCCAACCTTGCTTTTGCACAAGAGTACATACAAACGCACTTGAAAATGCAACTTTTTCAGCCAAGTTTTCTAGGCCAGGAGAGACCTATTCTAACAAAATTTTGCTTTGCGTATTTTCCTACCTACAGAACATTGCTATGTTTCTGAAGCAAAGGGGAAAAGTTTTAATTCAGCAGGCTGAACAGCCTGTGAACAGCAAAAAGACTTCTCTTCCTTTTTAAAATCGCAACGAAAAGCAAGTGTTCCTAAAACAGCCACAAGATAAAAACATGTGTGACAAACATGTTCCTCCTACCTGCAGTGCACCAGAGTAGGAGAGTCGATTGGATTTTGACTGCTGTACTCATGAACAAGGTGTCTAAAGTTGATGAGAAGGTCTGTTGTCTCAGGCACCCCATGATCTGGCCAGGAGGTGAAATGGAACTGGCGCACGGTGTGGCTCTCTGGTGTGTTGGACTAGAGGAATACACATTTTAAAAAAGGAAAACCAGCTTCAGAGGGAGAAACAGTAAGGCTTCCTGCCACAGGACTGGGAAAAGCTCAGCTTCACTGAAGATGCTTTTTACAAACCATGAAGTAATTTGATAATGACATTTCAATTTACCTCTTCCCTCTGCTCTGGTAGAAAATCCTTGGAAGTAATTTCCTTTTACTTTCTGCTCTACTCCTATCTCTACTGCATTACATTTGCCAACAGAGATGGGACGAACTGTTCAGTCTAGCAGATATTACAAGTATCTCCAGAAGCGCAACTTTTGGGGCAAGTCTCAGGGAAACACAAGCTGCAGGATCACTGATGAGGTAATCAGTAAATCCTGCTAGCAGGCTGGATTTTGCTGGCAGATCCCTTTCTGCCACCGGGAGGGTCTTACTGACAACTTATGGCCAGCTCCAGGTACGTTACTAAAACACTGTTTTGAGAAGCCACAGTATGTGAACAAGTGCAGACACATCAAGATCACAGGAATCTCATTGTCAGTAAGCAGTGTGAAAGACTCGGGCAGAAAGCAGACAGATACACTCAAAGCTTCAAATTAAAATAAACTACTCTTATCCTTTTCCCTCAGATAACTTTGATTAAGTTTTAGTGAAATCATTATATCCTGTCACTCCAGTGTTGCTTGACACGTGAAGTTTCAGTGGTACAATAAACCACTTGTACAGGCATTTATGCACTAACAACTAACACCCAAGAGGGTACTCACCTTTTCTACAGTGAAGTCCCTTAGTGTCCATTCTGGAAGGACAATCTCTGATACCATTGTCACAATAATGTCACCATAACTCTTGGATTGTTTGTCCGGCCAGTATTGCTCACATTTTGTCTAAGAGAGTTACAAGGTTAGACATTACACATGGCAAGAAACAACTGACTGTTAGTTTTAAATTACACATTGCCTGAAGCAGGACCAGAAAGCACATCACCCTTCCCAACAGCTTATCCCAGGAGAAGCTCTGCCAAAATCATTCTTTAAGGAGAAGAACTCACCCTTAAAGACAGCAATGCCACAAGCCTCCTACAGCAATCTATTCTGGTAATCAACAGATACAAAATGGGAAAAAGCTAAAACCAAATTTGGCTTATTTAATTTAGAAAAGAGTCTTCCAGTAAGCGGTTTTCAAAAGAAAGCAGTCAGTCTCCAACCTGCTTGGGTAACAACAAATTAGAAGAGATCCGACCACCTTCAAGAGACAGTTCAGTTTTAATAAAAACATACCCGGGCTTGTTCAACACATTTTGTCAACATGACAACAGAGTAGATATTCTTTTCCCAAATCATGCGCCAGAAGTCTTCTATCGTATTGGGTAAAGGACCCTGTGCAGCAATAAATGCCTTCTTTGAGTTGTAGCCCTAAGGGAAAAAACAAAACAAAACAAATATATATACAGATGCACAAACATGCATGCATCAATGAGACACAAAAATCTGATTTTAAATGTCATTGTGAACTGTTAAGCCTACATGGTAACAACACACATTATATTTCCATTTGAATTAATGAAACAACTTACAGGCATATAGTTTGCATTAATGTAATCGTCAGTGGTAGAGCCTTGATCTGAAAGTTTAACACGAGAAATATCATCTGCAGAAAGAAAAAAAAAGGAAAAGAAAATTATGAATTTTAGAACTAGAACCGTTTAGCAAAGGACTGCTTATCTAATGCATGGTTTCTAGATAAAAGATGTTCAAACCAATGTGCATTTTAATAACAAGAATATAACTTTAGGACTTGCAAATAGCAGCAGTTGAGAATTTTTATAATGAAAGCCTTCAGAAGAATGAGTGGCCAGGATGAAGATTCAGAATACTCAACACAGATTTTCATTATTTTTCTAAACACAGTTTGGTTTTGCATATTTATATATTTTTAATCCAACATGAAGTTTACTATGGTTATAATTACTAGAGAAAACCAGGTTATTTGTCTCCTGCAGCCATTGCACCTCCAAAGCATCCCTAAGTACCCATCACTGTTCGTCTCCCAGTTCCCTCTCACACCCTGCTATGCTGGGGTGCCTGCAGACAGCTCCGCGCAGCTTCACCCCTCACTTCACCAGTAAAGGTGGCCAGCGAGGGCTCAACAGTGCTCGTAGCTCTGCACATCTACCTGGCCGTAGTCAACCGTTAACCTCAGCTTTTTCAATCTGGACCACGAGTTTCTCACAAATGGAAAATTAAAATTATTAAGGGAATGTTTAAGGAGTTTTCTTAAGGGAAAGTCTGGGAACTTCACAGAACATTCTTGAGGGAGAGCTCTTTAGGTTTGCTGAGTGATTTGGGGAAAGCAGCAGCCCACATTCTTTCATTTGCAAGTTGACATTAATCTCTCTTTGAAACCTCTGGGTACTATTAAAGCCAGATAGCCAAATTAAAGGCTTTTTACCTGAAAAGTCAACAAGTAGAAGATGCAAAACCAAAGAGAGTAACTCACATGGTAAGACATTGTTGTATCTATTTTTCCCCCTGTTCTCAGCAAGCTCAGCAGCAAATTTGGGCTGATGAACACCAGCAGACTTGAGCTCCTACAATAAAAGAAGGATTCATGAGCACCCAGGTCCTAGTTTAGGAATCTTGCAGAAATACGACTGAAACAAATACTATAAACGCTCTTGGCTTTTGCTCTAAAAGTAGGCATGTTTAAGTGGAGTACATGATAAAAATCATGCTTTTACAGAGTGTGAGGGTGACAGTGGCAAACCTGATAAAGGATTAAGATAGAAGGTCGCAATAGCAGTGCGTTTAATAACCAGAGATGTGTTTTAGAAGCCCAAAAAGAGTTTTGCAGAAATACAAGACAGACATCAACAGCACACTCCTTCTGCCTCCAAGGCAGTGAACTACTTAGCATAAAGCTTTGCAGACTTTATAGGGAGAAAGGGAGCAAGTACAGCATGAAAAGACTGACGGAAGTAAATTCTGAGAGAAAGGCAATGTGGAGCGCCAGCCTGCAAAGTACAACCAAAGGTACAAAATTTGATCTGGAAAGCAAAAGGTCAATTAATAGCTGCAAGGAGATGAAAAAAACTGAGATTCTTTAAGAGCAGACAACACAGCATCCTTACTGACACTCAATTCCTGTCTTTGGTACCTTGGAACAACTGAGCTTTAGCACATTTCACAGAAAAACATCTATGGTCACTAAGCAAATCATAATTGCTGTTTCTGACTGCTCCTTTGAGCTATTCACAGGTGTGGTCTGAAAAATCACACCTACACACTAAAGAAGTTAGTGATACTAGCAGGAGACCTGTCTTGCTGTGTAGAAAAACAAAAACAAGATAAAAACCCCAAAGCCCAGAGAAGTTAAATAGCCTTCCCTAGGCTAACTCCACAGTGTGACTAGGGCAAGGACTCAGGAAATCCCATCTCTGCTGAGAGCTCTGGCTGGCAGGCCATGCTTTAACCTCACAGGTAGATTAAATAATTCAGGATGTGAAGGAATTACCGGGCACTTCAGCTAAATCTGGGGCTGAATCAGGGAAGGGAAAGCCAAGCATGCAGCTTAACGACCTCTATAGTGAAGGTCCCTTCTCTTGCCCTTCAGTAAGCCTCACACATAATAATCTGCCTTTCCAAAAACATTCGTCACGAATCTTTCTCTACTGGGGACACGTACCTCATACTCTTCAGCAAAACCACAGTTGGAGTCAGCTTGCTGCTTCTTAAAGTAGGACTCATAGTTCTCCACTTTAATCATTTTTGATCTAAAAAGAGACAAGCCATGTATTGGTAACTGGTATTAGGTAAATAAACCATGAATTCAGTTAATGTGTTAGAAAGTGTGCTTTACTTACTTCTTTACTCTTCAGAAGAGGGTAGGGGGGGAAAAAAAAAAGGTTGATTAGACACATGCAGTTGTATTTTTCAGTATGCAAATCTAAGAATGAAAAAGCATGACTGTTAGTAGCAGCCATAAAACTCTGCATTTGCAGGGGACAGGATAGTATTTAACCCATCTGTTAAACCAGGGAGGGAACAGCACATCCTTCAAGAGAGGAATACCACAGAAGGTGCCAGTCAGCCGCTTCTGGGCTTGCATCAGATTGGTCCCATTCTTTGGTGCATTTAATGTCAACTACCAAAGTCTACAAAGGTGGGACTTCATGGGATGCTCTGGCCCTGCCTTTCCATCAGCACAACCATTGGTGCAAGAACCAATAATGTGATTCAACTGCACTGCCTGTGATTTCCAATACACTGAGGTTACCCTCCCATGGCCAGCTTCTACAATCTCAAAATTATCCAAATTAATGGCTCAGCACAAAATAGTCATAAAGCAGAGGAAACTTCAGGCCACAGGGCAGAATTTGTGCACTTTATCAGCAATTTTGTTTCCTCAATGCGCACGGAAGCCAGCATTTCATTCGAACATCTCCTTTTCAAGACCACATGGAACATCTGTTTATCCAATGGCGATTCATGAAGCAAGCACTCAGATCTCTGTGGCAGCTCCAGAAGCCTCACTCAATATGATGATTTTTAGTCTGCAGGCTGTAGTCTTTAAATTCCATGAGCAATTAATCACAGAATCATGGAATTTTCAGGGTTGGAAGGGACCTTAAAGATCACCTAGTTCCAACTCCCTCACCATGCAAAATTCTATATAAAACTGCACAGAAAACAAATATCAGGGTTCAAAGCAAGTTCTGCAAACATTTGAGCTCAGAACAAAACACGTGAAAGGATATGGACTTACTTAATCGGAGAAAAGGACACCTCAGTATTTCTTTTATCTTTCCTACAACGCAAAAAAACAACACAATAGGTTCACAGTAAGATTTAATGAAATGCATATGAGATTTCTGACGTCAGCTATTTCCTGTGCCTGTTCAAAATAATTTCTTTGGAAGCACCTCATTCGGTGCAAAAAAGTCTCCTGACGCAATCCTCATACATGGAGTAAGAATAAAATACTTCATCCTTTGTTCAGTGAGTGTGCATCGGGACTGTATTTCTGCTGGAACTAGAGTGTAATGCCTGAACAAAAAGCACACAGTTTTGGGGAAGAAGTACATCTGAGGGACCTGCACTGCTAGCCAACAGCTCAGGAGAACTGCTGCTCATCCCACTATCCTGCACTAAGTGTTCCAACGGTGGTATGTCAGTGGCACTGGAAGTGGTACCTGAATGAAAAAAACTGTTCCCAGCTTTAAAGGAAGCTCTGCTCATTACTGTCCACAGCTCCTGGACACTTGTAAAAGTAACAGCAGTTAATCAAGAAACTAAGAAAGCTGGACTAAAGGGCCCTACAGTTCACTTTAGAAAGGATGTACTACACGATCAGAAGTGAGAAACAGCTTTTATGGAATCTTAAGTCCTGAATGATTTGAAAAAGGTCGGAAGACCAGCTCAAATCCTAGGCAACTCATCAGCTTCTGGAAACTTTAGAATGAAAGTCTCATGAGACAGGCCATCAAACAATTAAAAAGCATGATTAACAGATAACTCAAAATAAAACCATCTAAGATACAGTTACATATGCCCTTTAGCACAATAATCTGTGACATTTGCTCACTTCTGACTGAATTACTTCATCAGCATGCATGAATTCAGAAGACCTAAACAAAACAAATCTTGACTCATTAGTTTTTAACTATGGGGTTGAACAAAGTCATTTAACTAGTTTGCTACATCAGCTCTAACCTGTAGCATATAAGCAAGATTTTTAATACAATGTATTCTAAAGTATCATGACAGAAGTGTATAAAACAGAGCTGGTTTAGGGGAGAGATACAGAAGTGAAATACTGGCGGTTCCTCCTCACAACAAATAAATACACATTACCTTCTCCTTCTCCAGAATATGAAGCCCCCTACAGCGACTACAGCCAGTAAAGCTAAAAGGCATCCAATAACAGCTCCAGCAATAACACCTGGTAAAAGAGAACAAGTCTTGCTCATTACTGACTTACCTCGTTGGTAAGGATCTAACTCAACTGACACATCACAAGAGAACCTTGCAACTGACAGAGCACACCCTACTCTACTAAATGTCTGTTCTTTACCGTGTCCTTTGGCAGTACCAGTATTGAAAGGCCCTTAAGAATAATAATCCAATTAACAAAGAATTTGTCTCAAAAGACCAGTATTTTCATTCCAATACAGGTGCTTCTAATTTACCAGAACTGTTAGAATATCAACTGCTTTTCACTACTGGTTTCTGTACCAGTCTCACTGTGCCATCCAATTCCTTTTAGCACGTCGTGAGTTGCTACTCAGCTTCTGGTTACTTTCACAGCAGAAGTCATACGTGGAAAAAAGAGGTCACCTGCAGAACTAGCGAGGTACAAATTTACAGAGCAGTGTCACTGCAAAGCTAGAAAGAAACAGTCCATCACAGAGAAACCAGCAGGTGTTTTGCTATTATGGAACTCTCCATAATCAGGGAGATACACTGTGTATGTGCCAAGCCAGCAGTCCCATATTTGATATTAACTATACCTGGATCCTGTGGTAGCAAAACTGCCTCAGAACAGGGTGAAAACGATACATAACTATCTTCCTCCACAATGATGTCAGCCATATTAAAGGTTATATTAGTGAAACCCGCAACACTTGCCCTGTTGATAAGGGAGAAAAAAACCAAACCCACAGGTGCATTACACAATTTTAACAAGTCTTATGCAAGATCCGTGATTTTTTCATTAGATTCTTTTTAGATTTCAGCCGCAGCAAAATTAACTGACCATTGAAGTAAATACCTGTATGAACGAAGTGGAATCAGTGGTCCGTTTTCGTAGCCATACATTGTGTTTCCCTTGCCCACACTAACAATGTTCGTACCATTCTGAGAACGGAAAGAAGGTGATTTTGCCTGTTCTGTACCTAAGACATATGTCACATAGGTGGCTGTCATCATCTTCTTGAAATCTTTGTATGTGTTGTTCAATTTAGACTTCAAATGCCCACAACCTTGGAGATAAAACAAGGATATATATGGCATATGTCATCCACTGGTTTTGTATCGATCAGCACGGTGACTGAGATTGTCACGTTAACCACAGTTGTCATTACTCCATCAATACCACCTGAATTGCAAGGCTGAGCGCAACAGACAATCTAAAAATCTCATCCGCTGCAGGGCAATCTACTGCACTACCTTCCTGCTCCCCAACATTACTTGCTTTTATCTCCTGTAGGTTTTACTTTTACTCTGTATAGTGGAGCTTCTCTGGAAAGGTACATTACTGGCAGATTCTGGTGTCTCTGTGGACAACCTTCACTAGACAAGTCAGTCATATCCCTATGCACTCTAACAACTGTCATACGGACAGTAAGATCGACAGACAAACAATAAATATGAATGTCTCCAACAGCTGCTTTAGTCTTCTAGTGCACTGGCTGAAATGAAGCGCAACTAAAATCTACACTGCAAAGCATAGTTCCTTGATTTAATGATTTATCACTAGATATTTATCAATTGAAAACATTTCTCTGGTTTGATGCTTTAAAGGGGTGAGTTTGATAGACTCCCCTCTACTTTCCCTGGCATTCAACCCCAATGGCATGTTATGCTCACAACGCTATTCAAAAGCCCTCCATCTGCACCTCATCTCTCAGTTAATAGTATTTTAAGTAAAATCAGAAGGAAAGCTCTTTGTTTTCTTTCTATTTCTTTTATTCTTTTTTACTTTTTAAAAGATCTTATTGCAGATATCTTGTAGCTGAAGAATGGAGGGAGAAAAATATCCCACCATCCCACATTCCAAAGCTGCTTATTGTTAGTAGCTCTGAAAATTATTCAGGGGGGTGGGGATGGGGGAAAAAAAAGGATACTGCACAATCTTGGCATCTTGATTTGCCAGCGATTCCTGACACAACAGCACAGTGGCAATACATAGGAGACATATGCAAGAATAAGCCAAGCTGGAAAAAGCCGAGTGGGAATAGTGGCTTTCTGCAAACCTGACTTCAAGCAAGCAACGTATTTGCCTCGTGATTTTTGAAAGATGATTGAAAATACCGAATCAACTTTTTTCTCTATGCATTTAACATCTACTTAGAGTTTAAAAAACAACGTTGTCCAATAAATTGATTTACACAGCCACAGGCTAATATCACACCATCTTACCTTGTTCTTCTGTTGTGATCATTACTGCATAGGCTTTTAATGGTCCATTCACTGACTCAAAATTGGAGAATTCAACAGACAACGAGCTGTGACTGACTGCCTTGGCTAACGGAGCTTTGCTTGGAGCAGGTGGGTCTAGAAACAGAAATATTTTTAGAACCTTCATGACTGGTAAGTTTTCTGAACCAGAAAATACTATAATAGTGATGCTGTTCATACAACACATATTTATTGTGCATCACATTAGTCTCTGCCTGAGTGTAGTGTTTTATTCATAATCTGTATGCTGATAACATACTGCATACCACATTTGGTATTCTGCAATCGTGACGTTAGTATCCCAGTCTTATGAATATCTATCATTCTCAAATCTTAATGCTTACCAGTAATGCTCGTATTACACATCTTCTGCACTGCACGGCTTTCAGAGCTATTTGAAAGAGTTACAATGTTAACATTATACGTGCTGAAATAATCTAAAGACTCTATTCTGAAGGTTTCCTCTGAGCCTTCTCTCACGCAGGACGGAGGCCATTTTCCTGTTGTCCATGTATCATTAAATATTGTAATTCTGAAGCCAGAATTGTTACCAGGAGGACATTCCCACTTCAGCAACAGGGAAGACTGTTTAGGCACTCCTTCACACTGAAATGAATTCACTAATGCAGGAACTGCAAGAGAAAAGAATAACAAAAAAAAGAGGAGTTAAGCACTGTAGTAAATAGAAAAAGCTGTCTATTTACAAGTTCTGTGTATACAGATTTGTAAAACTTCAATATTTGTTTCTGCTTTTTAAAGATGAAGTTACTAGCTACAAGGGCTTGCTACACTATAAGCATAAGTATTTAGCACATTAAGTGAAGATTTCTGCACTCTCACATGCCTCTGCAGACAGATTTCCTGAGATGATTTTGGTTGAGAATCTGTCAAGATCAAAGTTTTCAAGATGCTGTTCAACCACTGAACATACTATTTTAAGAACATTTTTAGATTAGTACATAGATTGACCCTAACTCCCTGTGTAATTATGTAAAACTTTTCAAAGTCAAGTAATAAGAAAACAAATGAAGCTCCGTGCATTAAGAGTCCAACAAAGGCCATCAATCCCAGGCAGGCGGAGCCCTGTGCTGCACAGCA